TACCATTCCCACAACAAGAAATACTGCCTAAAACAACCAGGGGTGCAGGATCCTGGTTGAAAGCTGGTTTTCTTCCCTTCCTCCAGTGGCAATAGATGGCTTTCCCCCGGGGTCAGCATGGGAGTCCAAGGCAGGCAACCTTCCTGCCCTTCCCTGAGTGTCAGTCAATCAATGTCTTGTATCACTGGAGGGTCTTGATATCATCAGATTAACTGCCCCCCTTCCTGCAGCAAATGGCTTTTTCCTGGTGTTCATGCAGAGTCCAGGGTTGGTGGGTTTTCTGCCCTCCCTCAGTGGCAGATCTTTTCCATTTAGCCAGCATGCAGTCCAGAGCAAGTGAGTTTCCTGGACTTCCCCTGTGGCAACAGATCTCTAACAAGTATCAATGCAGACCCAGGAGTGCAGGGAGGTTTCTTACTCCACCTCCGGTACCAATCAGCTATTGCCCAATATCAGAGTAGGGTCCAAGCTACAGTGGATGCCCTGCCCCTCACTCAGCAGCAGGCAGATTTTGCTTAATAAAGATCCAGAACATGTGTAGTTTTCTTGCCTGTCCCCTAGCACTGGCCAACAATCACCTTTTACTCAGGCAGGTTCCAGTGTAAATGGGCCTCTCCAGTTTCTATTACTCCTCCTTAAAACTTAAGAAGACTTTGTTCCCCTTTGTTTTAGATTTGCACTGCTGCTGAAACAAAGTGTCACAAATTTAGTGGCTTAAATGCCACAAAATTATCTTAACAGTTCTGTAGATCAAAGTCTGATATATGTCTTACTAAGCTAAAATCCAGGTGTCAGCAAGCCTGCATTGCTTTCTGGAGGCTCTAGGGAGGACTCCATTTCCTTGCCATTCCCAGCTTCTAGAAACTACCTGCAGACCTTGGTTTGGGGCCTCTTTCATCTTCAAAGTCAGAAGTGTTGCATCTCTTTAACCCTAGTTAAGAAATAATCTATTTTTAAGGACCGATATGATTAGACTGAACCCACCTAAATAATACAGGATAATCTCCCATCTCACGGTGCATACCAATAATCACATTTGCAAAGTCCCCATGCCAGATAATGTAACATATTAACCAGTTCCAAAGATTAAGTCATAGACATCTTTGGAAAAGCCATTATTCTACCTCCTATACCATGTACCACAAAAGAGCTTTCCCAAGTTTCCTGCTCTGTCCTCAACCTTTCCAGTAAGCATTCGGTAGAAGCCCAAGGGAAAAAGCTGGCAATTACTGATCACTCCTGTGTCTGGGGCTCCCAGGTACTCTCAACTGTTACATTAAACTATTCTCAATCTTTGTAAGAACTGGTTAAAATTTCAGCCATTTTCTTGTTACCTATCAACATGCCAGAGAACTCTTCTGGAGTTCTATCACAGATGAAACAATCTGTGTCTCTTATTTGCAAAGGCTTTTGTTTGTTTGTTTGTTTGAGTCTTGCTCTGTCTCCCAGGCTGGAATGCAGTGGTGCGATCTCAGCTCACTGCAAGCTCCACCTCCTGGGTTCACGCCATTCTCCTGCCTCAGCCTCCCGAGTGGCTGGGACTACAGGCGCCCGCCACCATGCCCAGCTAATTTTTCGTATTTTTAATAGAGACAGGGTTTTACCATGTTAGCTAAGATGGTCTAGATCTCCTGACCTCGTGATCTACCCGCCTCGGCCTCCCAAAATGCTAAAATTCAGTTTACCTGCTCACCTTGTAACTTCAGTTCTAACAAGCTCAAAATAAATTACGACTTTGTAGCCTACCTAGTTTACTCCCCTTGTTAGAGCAGAAGCAACATTCTCTTTTGGTTTTCTACCTTCTAAAAGGAAGCAGAATTCTCGAGATGCTTTTCTAAATGCATGCTGTATCATATTCTTCCACATGCATGGTTTATAAATGTCTCAATTAAAAAAATAGATTCACGTATAGGTGATTTTTCATGCAACCTCTCTGGCCTTGTAATGAAGAATACAATAGATCTTAATAATCTGACAATTATTAAGTGTGTCTCATTGTTTAAAAGAGAGGTAGGGGAGGAAAAAGAAAAGTCTTGCTTGAAATATGGAAATAAGAGTATATGTTTAGCTCTGAGTATGTTCTGGTGAGAATTACAATGATGCCAAACTCTATGCATATATTAAAGCCATCGCAAAAAAAAAAAAAAAAAAAAAAAAAAAGAAAGAAAGAAAAGAAAAATGAAAGAGTTTTTATGTGGGCTTCTACTTGATTTTATTTTTTCCTAATACAAAAAAGTTTTCGTCAAGACTTTCAAGGAACCAAGGTTTCCCATCACATCAAGAATATAATCTTTCACGGCATTATAAGAGGTCTGACTCAGCTTGTTCTTCCCAAGAATCAGAATCAGACTGATCAGAAAGGCAGAAGGTTGCTACTATGTGCAAAAGTATCATGCCCAGCAGGCTGTTTACCATAAAGTGAATCGAATCTGATATAAAAGTTGAAAAACAGTACATGATAAAAAGAAAGTAAGAAAGATTACAGACTCCAAAATCATTTATATCCCAATGGAATGTTAATAAACCCAGGACTCCATCAGAATCATAATATTCACATAATTAATTCTACATTTTATCCAGAGGAAAAATGGCTGAGAAAAAATTAGCTATCTTGAATCGCCCCCACCTCCAAAAATTATCAGGCAGATAGCAAACCAGAGGGTTGAGTATTGATCAGTGTCCAAAAGGAAATTGTACTTTTTTTCTAATTTGGTATTAGCACAAGTTAATGGTGTGGTGTGAACGTAAGTACAAAAATATTAAGCAGTATTAAACACAGCTGATAAATTCTGGAGATGGCTAAACTTATGAAAAGTCAGTTAAAGGAATCTTACAATGCCTAAGGCAGTCAATGCAGTTAATCTGTACAATCAAGCCATTTCCAAATATTCTAATCATGAATTCTCCTCATATCACCCTCAGCAAAATATTGTTCCTTATAACTAGAATACACAGAGAAAAATCTTAATCTCTCATGTTGTAACTGTTTGTCTGCTTCAGTATAACACATCTGATGCTTGATTGTACAGTCTTGATCCAGAAATTGCCCAGTGTTGCTAGGGAACCTAATCATTGGTATCATCGATACAATTTGTTCTCCTTTCAGCGTTGTACTAAAACTGTGTAAAAGTTTCCTTTAAATCTCAGACAGTTTCTGTGTGATGATGATTGAAAGGTAACTCATTTTGTTAGTATGCAAATGTGGGACAGACTCTTTCACTGATTTGCAATTTTTCTCTTGCCTTTAGGCTTGGATCCTATGAATCTGATCCTTGCATTCTGAATGCATTTTTTATATAAGAGAGAACTTACCTTGGCAGATTCTCAAAAAGGGAATTGAGAATTTGACAATATGGTACTTTGCAGACCCACTGAAGCCTACCTTAAAACTTTGCCAAAAGATCACCAAGCTAAACAAGAAATTATAAAGTATCAAAACTGGAATATAACACCAAAAATAGGGAAATGAAAAAAGATTAGGAAAGGAAGGCCAATTAAGAGTCAATGAAATACCACCCAGAGAAATGGCTTAAGATGTGTTATTGTTGACAGACTGTTCATACGTGCCTACTAGCAAGAAATGTGGATTAGGCATTCAAATCTAAAACATCAAGGGGCAGATAAAAACTATGACCATCTACATTATTGGTCCTATCCCACTCTCAGGAGGAAAGAAGGAAATCTTTCTTCCGCTCTAGAGCATTAAGGAGTAGGATTTAGAGCTTTGTGACTGTTCTTTGCCTATTCCCTTCCCATTGGAATAGGACCTCAATCTGGCCATGTTATCAGTGGGTGGCTGCTATTTTCCCCACGGTCTCAGGGTGGAAGACAAAGTTTTCATGGAGTTACCCAGAGCTGGAGCAAGTAGGGCATAAAGGGTGGCACAAAAGAGGAATAGAAGAGAGAATGAGTCCACATAGCTTTACATATTTGGAAATGAAAAATCCAGGAACGTAATGACTCCCGTGACCCTGAATGGCTCTATGTATGAGTCTTTCAGTTTTCAAAGGGAGTAAATTATATTTGTGAACTGAAATTACATAACTTCTCCCAGTTCTCGGAATGGATCATTTATTTTACATTGCTCTTCAGTCTGTACACCAGTATTTTAGAAGTTGTCATAAGTAATTCCTGTAAGTACTAACTCCGGGTAGTGGTACTGGTACAGCAAAGTAGCAAAAGAAGAAATACTGGCTGGGAAAACAAAATTAATTTTTATAAATTTCTCAATGGCATGTTATTTCTACCAGTCATATCATCAGTAGACTATATAGAAACAGAGGTACTCCAGGGTACTGAACTTCTGCTTTGAATAGCTGCTAGACATGCAGTGCACAGTGGGATGTGTGGTATCTGAACAATGCTTTTCAGAACAAGACTGTAATCTTAAGGTCATGATCAGAAATCACACATTTGAATAATCCATGAATGATGACGTGTTAAGATTAAAACATACAGGGCTGTCTAGTTAAAATGGGAGATAAGTGAGGGTAATGAAATGTGTGTCATTTAAATAGCAAAAGTATTGTGGCTATTAGGGATTCACTGTGCAGTTACTCTAACGGTATTAAGAGTTTGGAAGTACGGAGTAGTATTCCAGCCCTTACAGCCTAGCCACAGGTTTCCACAGATGCATCTCCATGCAGAAATGGTTGAAGCTTCCATAGCTAATCTGAACTTTTTAAGGGTTTACATAGACGGGAATATGATTTTGTATGTATGTCCGTGTGTATATACGCGTGTCTACTAGTTTTTTGCTTGAATGTTTATCATTTCTGTCACTTGCAATTTAAATATTCCTAATACATAGAAAAATCCAAAGACTAAGATTGTGATCCTTTATGCCTATGATATATTATGAATACAGAGACCTTGTGCCTTTACTGGCTTAGTAATAATCTTGCCCTAATATTAATGTTATGAAATCAAAAGGGTAAGATTTCTGGCTAACATCCCACAGAACACAGCAGACAAACTAAAGTTTTAATCTAGTTTTGGACTTTATGCCCTAGAGCAAGTTACATCTCGCTTAGCTTTTTTCATTTTAAAGTGGAAATATCTGCATGGTTGTTCGTACATGCTATATAACACATCCTATTCCAGATCAACCACCAGTTGAGCTCTAAATAGTAAATGCCAAAAGTGAGAAGCAGACAGGAAGGGGCGGAGCGCCAACGGCGCCTGGAGCGACGCGCCGCACCGGACCCAGCAGCGGCAGCGGCAAGCTTGGGTGTGAGCCCGGGGGCCGCTTTGCCCACCGTCCCGCCGGTTCCAGCCGTCGCTAGGGGGTCCGCGGGCCCTGCGGCAACCCTCGGTACAGACGCTGGGCGGGCGGCGACACCTGGCCCATGGCCCCCCCGGCGGCTCAGTCTTCCTTGGCCGTCAGGGCCTCAAGCCCCGCCGCGGCCCCCACCTCGTACGGCGTCTTCTGCAAGGGGCTCTCCCGCACCCTGCTCGCCTTCTTCGAGCTGGCCTGGCAGCTGCGCATGAACTTCCCGTACTTCTACGTCGCGGGCTCGGTGATCCTCAACATCCGATTGCAGGTACACATTTAGAGTCGTGACTAAGCTAATGGCCTCAGGGGCTAGCATAATGGCCTACTCCCAGGGTCCCTTGCGGCGCGGCGGAGCAGCGAATGGCGAGCCCCACAGTCTCGCGTTAGTGCTCAGGCGCTGTTCGCGGCCTCTTTCTTCGCTACAAGCAGAGCTCCTCTGGGGGCCGCCGAGAGCCTACAGTTCCTAGAAAGAAAATACGCGATTCCGGAAACAGAACTGCAGTTAAGACCCTCGAAAAGATCTAAGAACGTGTGCATCCTAAAACACCTGACGAATTTCAGGACGTGACAAAGCGCAGAGGTTGCATTATTTCAAAACAAAACAGAAGGCTAAAATTTTCAGGAAAAAGCAAATCAGTAAACCGTGAGTACTGGACTGGATTGTAAGCAAGATTTGAATGAGTAAGAGCTGAAGGTATTAAGATTGTGATATAGAAGGTACATACTTCTTCATTCCACAAGAGAAAAGAATAATAATCAGAAACTTTCAGTGAAAAAAAGCAAAACTGTACAGGAAACGCATCCTCCAAGTACCAGACAAAATGCTGCAAGCTTTTGAACTAATGGCGAGAGTGTGAGAAAATGGGCTCTATTGCAATGCTCCTGTGGCAGGACGTCGTGGATCGAGGCTTGGAACCGCAGAAAAGGAAATCCCATAGAAGCACAAAGCTTGGCTGTTCAGTGAATAACATTTAAATAATCGTAAAATACAAATGTTGTTATGGTTTTTATTGTTTAAGTACATAATTATGGTTACAAAGTGGAATGCAAATGTTATTTACCATATTTTAAAAAGAGAGCCGGAAATACAGGTGGGAATGTTGAAGGAGGGCGGCGGAAATAAATGGAATGGTGGTTCTGTCCTTATAAAGTCGGAACTTGAAAGGTACTGTCTGTTGTTGAGTGGGGAAAGACATTTATTACAGGGTAGCCATAAAGTTTCTAAAACGGTAATATATTAAAGAGGGAGACCGGTAGGGGAGAACAGTATGAAGTCAACAGGAAATGCCTAAAGATGGAGCACTCAGGTAGAATATTTCAAAAAATAAAAATTGATAGAGTATCTGGTGTATTTGAATACAGTCTAGAGAGCTTTCATTTTTCCATAGAGTGGGGATAAATTAGTGATTGCATATTTTTCAAATTTAGAAAATAGAACATGTAATTTTGAACCCTGAGAAAAATAAAAATTTAAAAACTACACTGTATACCTCAACTATGGATAATACTAGTCATGTAAAGTCTGTCATAATTATGTGAATACTGAATACTGATTTTACAACAAATGATTCTACAACCGGGAGGATGGAAGAGAAGAGAGATGTGTGTGTGTGTAATGGTAGTGAGCCAATCAAGATCTGATATAGAAAAGTGCAGGAAAAGTAGTATACACATGTTTTTTCCAGATTAAGAAAAAAACTATAATAATAAACCACTAAGAGTGGTAAAGTTTTAAATCAAGATCTGATATAGAAAAGTGCAGTAAAAGTAGTATATACATGTTTTTTCAGAAAAAAATAATAAACCACTAAGAAGGGTAAAGTTTTAAACTAGATGCAGTGTTCTATATTCCACTCATTGTGCCCAGCGAACAGTTAGTTGTTCTGTCTTTAAGTAGTAAGTATCTTGCCCCCTCCAACACCAGGTCTGGCCTTGGATAATTGTTCTTTCTAGGCTTTATTCTTTGTCTCCAGCCAAACTCCACTTGGGCATATTCTCCTTTATGCCTTTTCTACCTGAAGATACTCTCTTTTAAAGCTAAGCTTAGATGGCACTTTTTCCATTAAATTTTTCCTGGATTCCACTGACCATATAGGAGCTCACTTCTTTTAATCCATAAGGCCGTTTTCATAAGTTGCCTTATTTTTCCCTAATTGTGCATCAGCTATCTGTTTTATATACTCAAGACAGGTTTCCTAGACTGCGATAAGCCAAAACATTTTAATCTAAAATATCAGAAGTGTAGTTTAATAAATGAAATAGTAATACCAAGGAATTTAGAATGGTGAACATCACTGTTTCCCAGAGCACTAATGTCCCAATTTGTAACACAAAAGACTGTCTAGTCTTAATGCTGAAATGGTGACAGAGTAGGATGCTCCATTTGGGTGACTATGTGAACATGTTCCTACAACTTTTTTCCTCACATCAGTCATTTGTTAAACCGAAGAAACAGACTTTGTATTTATTATATCCTCCAACATAATTGGCAACTCTTTGAGGGAAGACACTATATCGTATTCAATTTTACACCCTGTAGTAACAGTATGTGTGTGCATTGTATATATACATATATGTGCATACACATATATAAATGTAAGTAGTAACTATATATGTACACAGTTACCACTTACATACTATATATGTATACAGTTACAGCTTACATTTACCTCCTAATATATACATATTTACATTTTTACATTTTAAATATGTAAAATTACATATTTATGTAATGTAAATATGTAATTATGTAATTTACATAAGTGTAAATATGCCATGCATATTTACATAAATATGCATATATATTAGGAGGTAAATGTAAGCTCTGTGGTTTATTGTTTATTCAGAATTGCTCTTAATTCTTGAGGTATACTTTGCCGCCTACATGTTGCAATTCAGTGCAATTCTCAGGAGACAAAACAAGATTTTGACCTGAATAAAACCAGTTATTGTTGTAATTCACAAGTGAGTTTATTCTTCCTGGCACACTTCCAGGTAATATCCATTAGGCCAAGGATTTTGTTTGTTCACTGTTCTATCCCCAAGCCTAGAGCATTGCCCAGTGCGGAATAGCTAATAAATGTTGTTGGATGGGTAGATGAATGGCAATTTGGTTGGTATGCTCTACATAGTCAGCAGTCAATAAAGGAAACAGATATATTTGTCCCTGATAATAAGATGATTCACTTTATTGCCCATAAATTGGTTTTTTTCCAGACCATCATGCACGTTGATTGTTCCAGAGATCCCTCAAGCATGAAAAAGCAGAGACATAGGTGGCATAATTATTATCAGTAAATACAAAACTTAAGAAATATAGCTGACAAAAAAAAAGGGAAATGATGTATTACAGTTTATTTTAGCTATAAAAGGAAAATAGTGAACATAGCAACGTATGTAACCTAAGGGATAGAGGAAAAGTTTTTTTAAAATTCTGGGTAAAAATACATGTGGCGACAAACAGCATATCATTACCATCAGCATCATTTAAAAAATATATTGAGTTTTTAATACCAGAAACTATGAAAAAGTGTTTATATACATGAGCTCCATAATTCTCACATATACCCTGTGAGGAAAACATTTTTATCATTTTTCAAAGAAGCAAATGGATTTAGAGAGGTTAAGTAACTTCCTAAGGTCATGGTAACCAACCAGACGTCAAATGAATCTCCAGTAATTCCTAAATATATATTTCATAAGGAGTTCAATTTTCTTAAATGTGTAGATAATTACAGATAATCCTGCTTCTCACATTTCTGGACAGAAATATTACCTGGGTAATAGTTACTTTTTTTAACATAACTATTGAGGGTCTTTCATACTAAAATATAAATATTTAACATGATTTGTTATGTAAGTTCAAGTATTTTATACTCTCTGCAGCCTTAAATCTATTGGCTTATTTTATTAGACAGTGGTGAGATTGAGGGATATGGGAGCAAAGGGAGAGAGAGGAAAGGACATTGTCCTCAGAATGGAAGGAAAACACTTTTCTTTGCTACCCAGAGTAGAGATCAGACAATCTTAAATTTGAAGCCATGTCTGTTCCTGTCCTGAGAATCCCTAACTCAATTTTGTTAGAAAATCTTGCAGTTTGCTTTTAACAGGTGATCTTTCTGGCAGAACATCAATAGCTTTTGATAGAGTCAAGAAGAAAATAAAGTTACATGCAGAAGCATAAAGGGGTAGGATGAAAGTTGAGGAATACAGGGACAAAAGATGAGGGAAAGGAATATCCTAATACTTGGAAGTTTGAGCATGGAAAGTAGTCTAAAGACTAGATTTGGGAAGTTCCAAGAAAATGGGCCAAGGAAAGAACCTCTGCAAGAACTATGAGAATTCCCAATAATTGGGTTGGATTGATTCATGTTAGTCTATTACTTGGGTTACCTTGAGTGCAGGGATTCTTCATGCAGTTTTAACACTTGTCTGAATGTGCCCCCCCCAAAATTCACATACTGGCATTCTAACCCCCAAAGTGATGATCTTAGGAGATGGGGCCTTTGGAAGGTGATCAGGTCATAAATATGAAACCCTCATGAATGGGATTAGTGCCCTTATAAAGGAGACCCCAAAATAATTCCCTTACCCCTTTTGCCATATAAGATTATAGGGAAAAGTCATCTATGAACAAGGAAATGAACCCTCACCAGATATCAAATTTGTGAATGCCTGGATCTTGGACTTTCCTGCCTTTAGAACTGTAAGAAGTAAATTTCTGTTTATAAGCACCCATTTTATGGTATTTTTTATAGCAGTATGAACAAACTAAATAGGATTTGCTCAGCAGGATTACCACCAGGTCAGGTCATGAATCTTTTCAAAATTTCAGTAAACCTCCCCCTACCCCTACAAATATAAATTTCAGCAATGCTCTTGGCACAACTAAAAGGCCTAAGGACCTTCCCAAGAGCCTACTACAAATGAAAAGAAGAAACTATGGAAGTCTTAGTAGCTTAATTGTAGGACATCCCTGCCAGTTTCTGTCCTGATTAGGAATCTGCAATGAACATTACAAAGTCTTCACTATCTTCATGACTTTCAACACCAAGAATATGGACTTAGCCACTGTAAAATAGTGGAATGCATCAGTGAACAATAAAGAGATATGGAGATCATTCATGTTATTAGTGAGGAAGTTTGGTACAACTTTTCATCAACCAAAAAGAAGGAGAAAAACAATCACACAGCCAAATAATGAAATATTGTAACTAGAATGTCTTGGCTCTAAGATCATTGGCAGAGAATTAGAGATTATGTTCAGCAGATTAAAACAAAAACAAAACAAAAAACAGTGAGCTGTGATCATGCCACTGCACTCCAGTCAGGGCTGCAGAGCAAGACCCTGTCTCAAAAAACAAAAAGCCAAAGATACAAGATGTTTAAAGTTAAAAAAGAACTGTTGTTCAAGAGATCATTTTCACTTAATTGTTTTTTGAAAACTGCAAAAGTATCTCAAACTGAAGTCTAAAAGGAAAATAATTAATAGAAGTTTCAAAGTTCAGAGTCCAGGTTATATCTATATAAAAGGGAACGTAAATTATTTCCAGAACTGATTCATTTATTAAACATGGGGCTAAGGAATAGAGGTAGCAATATACAAATCAGGATAATGCCTTTGTCTTCTGAAGCTGCATCTACATTGGTGCCCCTCAAAATAGCTAAAATTGAAAATAGTTTATCAGTCACCTGGGATTTCTTCTACAAATAACCTTCCCAAAAAAATATTGCCTAACATTTTTCTGAATTTATCAAACCAACCATCTGATCAATTTTCTAAATGAAGATTTATTCTTGGCAATAATCTAGCTCAGGGCCTAGGTAATCGTACACAGCATTAAGCAATGTAACAGATGAGTGGACTGGAAGTATGGGTTTTGCAGATGGCCTCCTTGTTTCTGTATTTTAATTAAGGAAGTTTCTAGCTCAAAGGACATGAAATTAAGGGCAGCAGCAAACCATGTGAACTATCGGAGATTCACCAGAGACTATCACGCCCTCTGAAATATTTATTGATCCATGCATATTTTCACTAGGATGTTTTCTTTGAGTAAAGCTAAGGACAACATGGCTTGCACACCCGAAATATCTTCTCATCTTAAGTTCTGGGCCTAAGGCAGGGCTCAGGCATCAGCCATTTTTGGCATTAGAAACAGGTTATTCAGGTTATTGGCAGCTCTTCTGTAAATCAACTGTGTGACCAAACTGAGACGGGGGAACTCAAAAACTCTCATGACATCAAGACTATAAACTTACTTTAGGAGAAAGCAATTGGCAAAAAAAAAAAAAAAAAAAAAGTCAATCATTTTCTTTTCCCAATTGTTTGTTCCCAGGATAGGATACAGTTCTCTCCAGATTGCCTGCAACTAGCTTTGGATGTAAGAGTCGTGGTTGTCTTGCATCGTGGCTTGCATCTCCAACCCAGGCTTTTATTATGGAAAATGATGGTGCAGAGCTTAATCTCAAAATGTCATTGTAATAGGGAGAATGCAATACAGTGGTAGCCACAGTCCCAGACTCTCCCAGCCTTCATCGTTTAATAGTCATTTTCTGTGCTTTTATTATCTGGAATAGGTTTCTGCTCCATATAGCTTCATCTCTCCAAGGATAGTACCTGAGATGTGAGGACTTAATCCTAGTAAGACATTTACTTCTAAGTCCCACTCACTAGAAGCAAGGATTGTGCATGGTTGTTTAAATCTTTTGAATCTTGATCATTAAAGAAAAGTTTAGGCCAGGCGCAGTGGCTCACCCCTGTAATCCCAGCACTTTGGGAGGCCAAAGCTGGCAGGTCACCTGAGGTCGGGAGTTTGAGACCAACCTGACCAAAATGGAGAAACCCTGTCTCTACTAAAATACAAAAAAATTAGCCAGGCATGGTGGCGCATGCCTATAATCCCAGCTACTTGGGAGTCTGAGGCAGGAGAATTGCTTGAACCCAGTAAGCAGAGGTTGTGGTCAGCCAAGATTGCACCATTGCACTCCAGCCTGGGCAACAAGAGCAAAACTCCATCTGGAAAAGAAGGGAAGGGAAGGGGAGGGGAGGGGAGAGGGAGGAGGGGAATAGGGATGGGGAAGGGTAGGGGGAAGAGAGGGAGGAGAGGGGAGGGGGAGGGGAGGGCAGCGAGGGGAGGGGAAGGGGAAGGAAAAGGGGAAGGGGAAGGGGAAGGAAAAGGGGAAGGGAATTTAACTTGTTTACTGAAAAGAGTAATTCCAAACCAAATTATCCTCACGATCTGAACCTAAATATAGTCAGTGTGATTTTAATGTTGCCCTTTCTAAAGCAAGATAATGTCCATGATAATCATTAGGAAATTTATTATACAGTATCTAAGAATGAATGAAGTTTTAAAAATCTAAATGTCTGTATAGGCCTGTACTGGCCTTAAGATTATATATTGTATACCTTTTCAGTTACTTTAAATTATTTTGTTGTAAAAGTCAACCCAGAACTATACACAAATACAAACATGCCTAAAATATATGCAAATATGTGACATTCTCTTATAAATTTTCCTTTATGTTCTTATTCTTAGTGAGTGAGTTGGTCGTGTTTTCTCTGATGTGACACACTAGTATTCATGGTATGACAAAAATATATCATTACACATTTGCACACACACAGAGATCTTGTGTCAAAGTGTGGTTTTAATCCTATAAAGTAAAAATAGAAGCATCATTATGGACATAGGGATAAGTATTCAACTTCTTTTTAGAAGTTCAGTTGATTTTGCACTTATCCTACAAAGGTATGATAGCTTGAATTCCTAGCTAGGGTCCTAATGAGAGAATTCTCTTTTGTTTTAAAAGTTACATCTATTGTTATGAGATTATATGCTTTCAACATTTTCAGTTCTTAATGTATTTTACTTAGTGTTATAAAAATATTCCACCTACTCCAAATTGGAGTAGATATTGGGTTCTAATGGTATTTAGAACCATTTCCAAATACTACTTTTTTTCCCTCACATATGAATGTCATCACACATTTGCCAGCACATATAAAATTAAAACATGTTGCATTATATATTTTATATTTATATTAAGTCTCGAATATTTCCTTGTTACTAGCAAATATTAAAATGACAATGATA